AGACAGAGGGCAGCTGGGGGTAGATGCCGTGGGGCGTCCAGCAGTGGGTAGATGGGTGAGGCCCTGGCTCAGCCGGGCCTGGCTCTGTGGTCTCGGAACCCGGTGCTCCTGGCCGGGCCTCAGTTTTCCCATCCAGGACGTGGGCACAGTGGCATCTGCCTCTCAGTGGTGGTGCGTGTTGGCGAGCCAGATGTGGGCCAGGAGCTGATTCCCTATGAATGTGAGTCCGGGCCCCATTCAGCCACTAGCCTGCAGTGCTCTGAGTGAGTCACAGAGACTAAGCCCAACCAGAAAAACAAAGGGCTGGGCGGCTTGTCCCTGGGTCTTGGCCAGAGGACAGGACGAGGGGGGTCTGGCTGGCAAGGGTACTGACCGGTGCCCGTGGCCACTTCTGGGGACGATGGCTCCTAACTCCAGAGACGCTGTGTGCCTGGTGTCTCTGCCTCTTGCACCTCCCTGCCCCGAGGGCTGTCCCGGGGCCTGGGGGAAAGCAGCGGCCTCCCCACCTGGGGACCAAGAAGGGTTCCTGGGGTGCCCGGCCGCCCCTGTGGGGAGGCTAAGCAGACAGCTGGGAATAAACAAAGGGAAGATGGAGACCCAGAGGGAGGAGGAAGGAGGGAGGGAGAGGGAGGGAGCGAGGAAGGGAGGGGAGAGGAAGGGGTGGGGGAGGGAAGGAGGGAGGGAGACTGAGATAGGGACAGAGACACCAGAGGGAGAGCCAGAGGAGAGGGGCTGAGGGCGAGCAAGGGCAGGAGGGGCAGCGGGGGGCGGACAGGGCCCAGGCCTGGCCAGGCCAGGTCAAGAGCGCCAGGCCAGGAGAGGAGGGCAGCAGGAGGCCCAGGCCAGGGCTAGGGCAGAGGCGATGGCTGGAGACCTGGGGTGGCAGGGTGTCCGGCGCCCAGAGGGAGCGGTGGGCAGAGGAGTGGGGGACAGTGGCAGCTGCCCAGGGAGCCCGGGGAGAGGCCCAGGGAGGAGGCCAAGGGAGGGAGGGGGCAGTAGTGCTGCCCATCAGCGGCTGCCGAGGTCCGGCTAAGCCCCTGCTGCGGGGCTGGGAGGGTTCTCTCTGACATTTTTACTAGTCTGGGAAGGAGGAGGAGGTGGAGGTGGAGGAGACCAGGGGGGCGGAGAAGGGGCTTGGGGGACAAAAGGGAAGCAGCTGTGAAGCCTCCTGAGGAGAGGGGAGCGGGACCCACAGAGGAGGGACCCAGGCACAGTGGACGGGCCTCAGCCGACAGCTGGGAGCCAGCCCAGGACCCCCAGCCCCGGGCCAGAGGGACCAGGACAGGCAGAGAGAGGGACAGGGACAGGGGAGAGAAGGAGGGGCAGGGGGAGCAGAGAGAGGGGAGAGAGGAGAGGAGAGGGAGGAGAGGGAGAAGGAGGGGGAGGAAGACCAGGAGGCAGAGCGAGCAGCAGGCCGCAGGCGCCAGCACTGGGAACGGGGCCTTTGAAGAAGGCGGCGGCGTCCCCAGGGCCGGGGTCAGGCCAGGTGGCCTGGCGGCCGGGGCAGCATGAGCCACTCGGTGCTCCTCAGGAGGAACTCTAGCACGCGGGGCCTGGAGACGCTCTTGAGGTAGGTCCCTCCTGGCCAGGGCAGGTGCCTGTGCCGTGGCGCCCAGGCTGGGGCCGGTGGCCGGGCCTAGCTCCCCCCGCAGGGCCAGTGCACGTGCCGCCCGCCGACGCTGCTCGAGGTCATCTCTTGCTGGGCCCTGGTGGCCTGTGCACCCTTCGCAGACCTTCCCCTGCCCTCAGGGTGCAGACCGCAGCAGCCTCCAGGCCCCGCGCTGACCTGCCGACCCCGGGGGATAGTCACCCTCACTTGACTGGCCGCCACGACACTGGCTGACCCTGGCTCTTCAGCCCCACGTGGGAGGCACATGTGCCTTGAGCACCTGGCCTTGGAGCCCTGGCCATGGACACCAGGCCGGGGGCAGCGCACAGCCCTCTCTCAGGCTGCGTCTCGTCCTCTGTGAAGTGTGGCCTGGGAGCAGCTGCTCGGAGGGTCGTGGCCAGAGCTGGCGGCAGAGCGCGAGGCCTGCCCGGCCCTGTGGGGCTGGTCAGAGCTGCCACTCTCGGTGGCTAGCTGCTCACTGCCACCCTCTGGGCCGCCTGCAGTGTCCTTCCTCCTTCTCAGGGGTCTTCTTCAGACCCCCTGCCATGCCGGCTCCTCCAGGAAGTCCCTGTGGTCCTCCTGAGGCGGGTGGGGGCTGTCCTCCTCGGCCAGCCAGGCAGATCCGCTCCCTGGCCCCCTTCCCCGCTCGGAGCACCCGGTCTCTGGCACCCGGCCACCCGCTGCCCGCCCGAGGGTCGGGTCCTGGCTCTCGGTGGTGCAGCGGCGGAGCAGAGGCCCAGGTGTGGGGCGGAGGGTGGTGCGGTCCAAGTGGGCCTGGGAGCTGGCTGGCTCTTCACACCTGTCCCCAGACGAGGCTCCAGCCTGCCAGGGCCCCGAGGCAGGGCTGCAGGTCTCAGTCCAGACTCCCCCCGCCCACCCAGCAGGAACGCAGTCCCCAGGGCCGGCCTGGTCCCCAGAGTGCTGTGACAGGGGCTTGGAAAGCGCCTGGCATCCGTCCCCAGCACCTCTGAACCACCAGGGAAACTGAGGCCACTGCCCCCACACCAGGGCTGGGCTGCTGCCCGCTGACCAAGAGCGTTCAGAGGGCATGCCGGCGTGGAGCTTGGCAGGGTCGGACCCGGCAGAAGACGGTGGGAGGGGCCCTGAGGCCAGGTCCTGGGAGCCGCAGGCAGGGGCAGGGGAGAAGGAACTGTCCCCTGGGAGCTGGGCTCTGGGGGAGCAGGGAGAGCCTCGCAGGGAGAGCTGGGACACAGCTTTCAGCAGTGAGGAGTGGGTGTCAGCCCCCCGCCACCCTCGAGGACCCTGAGCCTGTGGAGGGCCAGGGTCACCCCCAGGCACTCACATCTGCTGCCACCCAGGACGGCGAGCCCTCCCCCCCACCTATGGCCGGAGTTCACATCTGACCGTTTTTACTTCCCCAAGCCCTGGCAGGCAGGCCCTGCCTCGTCCCTGTTAGATGAAAAACCAGGCTCAGAGAGGTTAAGTGATTCGCCCAGGGACAGCCAGCAGAGACCAGGAAGCCTGCCGCCCACAAACACCCTCGTCACCCCAGGTCCTCCCCAGGGACTCCCGAGCTCTCTCACCGGCCTGGGGGCAGGCCTTGCCCGTCTTCTCTAGGACAAGATCTCGAGGGCTCTGCTGGGCACCAGCCGTGGCCCAGGTGTAAATTGAATTCAGTTTAAGCTCATTAAAAAGGATGCCATGGGTCAGCAGAAACATGTGTCCTCCCGACCCACCTGCTGTCCTTGTCCACGTCAGGGTGTGAGTGGGGCTTGTGCGGCCTGTGGCCACCCAGACTTCTGTCCCGGCCTCAGCCCACACAAGGCTTCAAGCGGAGAGGGTCGGGTCCCGCTTGGGCAATCTGCCCACACCCCAGCACCCTCCTACCTGGCCCTGGTGGAGTCCCGTCCCTCCCAGGCCCACCCAAGGCCAGGATCRTGTCAGGGTGGTCAGAGACCTGCGGTCCTCAGTCACCCTGGTCCTGCGGCCCTCGGGGGCTGGCGTGGTGAGGGGCCGGGCTGACCTAGAGCAGGCTGTAGCTGGCCCAGAGGGAGGGGCCGGGCCAGGCCCTCCGTGGCCCATACCCCTGTCAGGCACCCGGGCTCCCCTGCCCCTGGCCGCCTTCCAGCCTGGCCTCCTGGAGGCATGAGCCCCTCTGTCCCCTGGGTCTGGGGCACATGTCCACCCACAGATGCTAGGGTCTTCTGCATCCAGGGATCTCCCCAGGGCTCTGGGCACCCTGGTCCGAGGGCCTCTGGGGACCCGTGTGGCCAGTCGTGCAGGGGATAGGGCCGGCAGCCTGCTGGGCTGGCCCCCACCGGGTGGGGAAAGCAGCCTCCAAACCACAGTGTCCAAAGGGGCGTGGCCGCCGGGCCCATCCAAGGCCGCGATCCCGAGGGTGGGGTAGCCCCCGCCCTGGCAGGGCCCGGCGTCTGGTGGGCGGCACCGGCTGCGGCCGGGTGGTCTGTTGGCCAGAGCCCGTCCTGCCCGGAGGGGGTACAGGGACCAAGTGGCCCAGCCCCTGGGCAGGGTGTCAGGGCCAGAACCCAGAGGGCTGCGATTCCGACTCCGGTCCCAGCCGGCAAATCAGAGCTGGGCAGCCCGGGCAGCGAGCAGCCGGGGCGCCGGGGCCTCTGGGACTCACCTGCCTGCTTTTGGCTGCCGGAGCCCCGGGGAGGCCCTGCGGCTTCTGGGACCCTCCGTGGGGTTGGAGGGGCACGGCCCCCAGGGACCTGTGCAGAACTCAGCGGCTCAGCAGAGGATGGTGGCCCGGGCTGACCTCAGAGGCCTTCAGAGGGCAGGTGGGCAGGCAGGCGACAGGTGGGCGCTCCGTGGGAGTCAGAACCCTCAGTGGCCCTGCGGGGGGCAGGCGCAGGGAGAGGGGTCTTCAGGCCTGGCCCCAGGAGCTCCTGGTCTTGACCCTGTACAGGTGGCTGGGTGTCCCCCGGCCACCCTCAGGGCAGGAGTGTGGCCCTGGGGGGCTGCTGCCTGGGACAGGCGAGGAAGTGAGGAGGTGGCACAGGGAGGGGGTGGGGGGAGCCTGGCCTGGGAGCCTGAGGGTCTCCCCGGGGGACGTGTCCTGCCAGGCCGGAGGGCACCGGCAAGACCCTGGCGGGAGGGCAGGGCAGGGGGCCTTTGGAGGAGCAGGCGCAGGGGCAAGCCTTGGCGGCCAGACGAGGGCGCCGGCAGGAGCACTGGCACCCTGTGACCAGGCAGGGGGGTCACGTCCCTCCTCTGCCACCTGCACCTGGCGGACGAGCACTGGGGGCCAGGGGGCTGAGCAGGGTGGCGCCGGGTGCAGGTGGTGGTGGGAAAGATGGGAGCGGTCTGGACAGTCAGAGCAAGCCCTAGGGGCAGGGACGGAGGACCAGAGGGAGAGGAGAGGGAGGAGACCAGGGGAGGACCCAGGAACCGGAGGAGGGACAAGTGACCGCTGTCCTGGGACGGCCGCCGGTGCTGCTGGTCCTCTCCCTGGAGGTGGAGGGAGGCTCTTTCTGCCTGCTGCAGCCTCTGCCGGGCACTGTGCTGGGGCCAAGGGGCTCACTGACCCCATGCTCCTGCCCCTCTGAGCCTGGACGGCTGCAGGGGTTGCCACGAGGACCCTGGTGTCCTGGGCGGGGTCCCACTTTGGCCCTGGACGGCAGCAGTGCCGGTCTGGCCCTCAGCCGTGGCTGGGGCCTTGGGATCTGAAGGCCAGAGTGGACCTCAGCCACTGTGACACCCAGAGGGACGAGGGTCTCCCCAGCCCGCTGAGGCTGGCCCTTGGGGTTGGAAAGCAGAGCTTCGGGGTAGCGGAGCAGCTTGCCCAGCACCCTGGGGGCAGGAGGACAGGGGGTGCGCAGGAGAGGGACGGAATGACTGGCCCCTGAGGGGCTCAGCATCCCTCAGGATCTGGAAGAGGCCGAGGGGCCAGGCGGGCACCCAGGCTCCACAGGCAGACCTGGGGACAGCCCGGGGCGAGACGCGGGGAGGCAGGAAGATGGGGTGCACTCGGGGCACAGCCGGGCGCAGGCAGGGGAGTGCCAGCTGCGTGGCCGAAGGGTGCCCCTGCGCCTGCTCCCGCCCAGGGGGCGGCCGAGGTTGAACGACGCGGACGCGTTTGGACAGGGCGCACTTGGGCCGCGTCTGTGGGCAGAGCCGCAGCGAGGCCACAGCCGGCCAGGGCGGGAAGAGGAGGCATGGCCGAGCCCAGAGCTGGCCAGCCACCATGGCCTGTCAGGGAGAGTGCCAAGCCTCGCCTGGCGAGCCCTGCGCAGGAGCACTGTCCAGTGTGGAGAGGAGACACAGCCCGGACCCCGTCCCCGTCCCCCGGAGGCGGCTCTGAGGGGACGGTGCAGACACTCCCCAGGCGCAGCCGCGTCTCGCCCCTGCAGGGAATGCTGAGCTGGGCACTGAGCCCCTGCAACATGTGATCAGTGACACCAAGAACAGAGAGGCCTGCACAGTGCCGGGAGGGAGGACCGACAGGCGCAGGACCAGTGGGGACCACAGCCACACCAGGATCCAACAGGCCAGGAGGGTGAGGCCTGACCTCTGACCCTAGGTCCCCAGGGGCAGGCCTGACTGAGCAGACACGGGCAGAGACTTAGAAGAGTCACAGTGCTGGGGCGAGGAGGCTGTCAGCATCAAGTTGACCATGGAGCACATCACAAGAGGTAGGGCACCCAGACCAAGGGAGGTGACTGGCTGGTCAGTAGGACATCTAGCTGGGTTCTGGTCCCCACACTGAGGGCAGAGGTGGATGGGCCCTGACCTGATCTCTGAGGAAAATGTGGGATGGGGAGCTGGAGGAGGCACCCTATTCCCAGTCTCAGGGGTCTTTAGGGCAAGACTCTGGGCTCCATGGAACCCAGCCCTAGCTCCGGAGAAGGTGCTGGGCCTGACCCCTGAGATCCGAGCTGTCTGCTGGGGCGCGGCTACCTTCCCCACGGGTGTGTGGGCAGGGCTGGGGTCCGCCCAGCGACTTGGGTGGTGTGATGGGGAGACCTGGGCTGCAGCTACCTGACCAGCACCGGCAGCTGGGCTCCCCAGGGGGTCACCACGAGCCAGGGCTGCAGTTCCAGGCACCTGGCAGGGGGCAGCTCTCAAGGGAGGGACTCTTCCCACCTGCAGAGCAGAAGGCAGAGCAGTGGTGGGCAGCGGGGGGCCAGGCAGTGGTGGGCAGCGGGGGGCTGGGCAGTGGTGGGCAGCGGGGGCCGGGTAGTGGTGGGCAGCGGGGGGCCAGGCAGGCAGCTCCCTCCAGGCAGGGTGGGGGCAAGAGTGGGATTGGGTGGTGGGAGCAGGATGCAGCAGGTGGGGACCCAGGGGACAGATGCCTGTCGACGACCCTCGCGCTCAGGGTGGGGTGGGAAGGGCTCTGGGGTGCAGCTGCACCTGGCCCCAGGCCCTCCCGGATGCCCTCAGCTGCAGCCCTGCGGCTGTCCCCCTGTGCCCATTGTCCAGTGGCTGCACCCTTCTTGCGGGTGGCCTCTCCCACACAAGCCCCCAGGGCAGGACAACAAGAGGACCCTGCCCCTAGAGCCTTCCTGCCCTGGCCTCCCCATGAACCTCGCAAGAGCGGCCGACTGCAGCCGCGTCTCCCCGCCCCGCCAAGGCCTGTAAGCAGGGACAGACACCGTGTTTGGGCCCTGCCCTCCAGGGAAGAACTGACCACCCTGTGCCCGGGAGGTTGGCAGGCGGGGGGTGGGGAGCTGGGCCCTGGGATGGCAGCCGGCGAGGCATTGCCGTCCCCATCCCCAGGGCCAGTGGAGACACCCCAAGGCCGGGCTCATCCTCTCGAGGTGACCTGCAGGTGGCCTGCGCGGCAGCTGAGAGCCAACTGTTAGCTGGGGCCACCAGGGCCGGGGCGCTAAGGGAGGCCCGTGGGGCACAGGCAGAGGGGAGGCCAGGGCTGGCTGGAGGGGTCCCTAGTGAGCGGAGCACTCTGCAGAGCCGGGGGGAGGGAGGTGGGTGGACCTTGGCAGCAGCGGCCCCTCCCTGGGTCAGCCCCTGGTCATGAGCTCCAGGCCCTGGGGCCGGCAGGAGCAGAGCCGCCTTGGCTTTGGGGGTTCTGGCTGGAGGCAGCGGGCTCCCCACAGTGGGGAAAGAGGAGGTGCCGGGTGCACTGTGGGGCCACCAGGCGGTGGAGGTGGGAGAGGGGCCGGCGCTCAGCAGCAGTGCCCTTCAGGTACAGGACCCTCTGTGACAGGCGTCCAGGGAGGCTCCCAGATACGATCTGCTGCCCAGGCAAGGGGGAGGTGGGCAGGGGCCCTGGGAGGCCTCGGCTGGGCCCCGCCTGCTCCTGGGCGCAGGACAGCCCAGGGGAAACGTGGGCTCAGGGGTCCCCGCTCTCACCCTCCGGGCAGGGCCGTGGTCTCCCTTCTTCTGCAGAGGGCAGTGGAGGCTGGGGAGGGTGAGCCTGGGCCTGTCCCTGGCCACCTGCCCTGGCTGGGTTCCCTCAGGCACCCGTCCCTGCCACGCCAAGGGCAGCCACGTGCCCGACCGGCAGCTGGCTCTGGTTCTGGTTCTGCCCGGCTGAGCCTCTTCCCTCCCTGCCCGGAAACTTCCATGACTCCCACAGCCCTGAGCCACTCAGCACTCTGTGACCTTCCCCACCCCGGGGTGTCACGGCCCTCCAGAGAGGTCCCCTCCAGGAAGGACCCTATTGAAGTCACCAGAAGAGCCGGCCACGTGTGTGGCCAGGCTGGGCTCTGCGTGGGCCGTCCTCCTGGCCCGTAGGGAGGAGACTGCAGGCCACCAGGTTGGAGACTGAGTGTCAGGCTGGCTCCTGGTTCTAACTCCTGCCTGGACCAGGCGCTGGCCACAGTAGAACCAGCAGAGGCCAGGCAGTGTCCCGGGTGGCCATGCTGACCAGGGGAGCCCTGAGGGTAATACCTGGGCCAGGAGGGTAGGGGACCCCTGTGCTTCCCAGAGGTTCCCGTCTCCCAGGGCCTGTGGGGCCTCCTGCAGCTGTGCCTGGGTGCTGGCTGTCCCCGGGGGTCCCCACACTCCCCATGTGCACGCCCAGGCTGGACTCCGTGTCTCCCCAGACCATGCCCCTGGTTCTGCCTCTCCACAGACGGACGCCGGGCCAGCTCTGGAGTCCCTGTCCCTGTTCCCCGTGTCCAGCACAGCCCTCCACATCCCTCCTGCCTGGATCCCTCCTCCCTCCCCACCCTGCTGGCCCTTCCCAACACCACTGATGGCACTGGCCCCGCCCCATCCAGCCCAGGGGGCAGCCAGGGCCACCGAGGGCCCCCCCAGCTCTGCCACCTTCCTGACTTTACCCTCACCCTGGTCCTCTCTCTGGTCCCAGGACCCCTGCCCATCTTTCAGACCTAAGTTCAAGGTCACCTCCCTCCCCTAGAGAGTGGGACAGGGTCATGGCCACTCTCCTGGATGGTGATGGCCAGGCGTCTGGGGGCGGAGGAGCCAGGTTCTGGTGCCCTCTCCCAGCCCCAGCGGGGAACACCTGCCCTCCTGCCCCCCTGCCCTCCTGCCCGCCTGCCCTCCTGATGGCTGGGCTGTGCTCCTGGCTCCCCCGGCACATCTGCCTCCAGTGGCCTCTCCAGGATGAGTGACAGCCAGGCAGAACCACACCCAGGCCAGCTCCCTGGGGACAAGGGGCCTGCTGATGTGGCCCAAGGTGCGGGTGCAGGTTCTGCTCGGCCACTCTGTCCCCAGGCTTCCAGGACAGACCTGACCTCTGCCTGGGGGCCTTCTTGTGAGTATCCTGGGCAGGGTGCCTGCTGTCCCACTACCCTCTGGAAGCCAGGGCTCATGCCCCCGGGTTCTGTCCCTTCTCCCCAGGGCTCTGCAGTGGCTCAGGGGGCAAATGTCCATCCTGGTGGACAGTGTAGGAGATCCTGGGGCATCTGGGCTCTTAAAAGGCCACAGAGACTCTGGTGGTCGCAGGGAGCCGGCTCACCTACCCCTGGGGGCCACCAGCCAGCTCCCAGGCCTCCTGGTCACCTCCAGCCTCCTGGTCTCCACTGTCCAGGAGACTTGGAGTCAGGAGGGTATGGGGAGCCTGGAGGAGAAGTTGTTCCTGGACATTCTTGCTTTGGTCCCAGTCCCCCAGCTGAACCCTCACGTCCTCCCCAGGATGGGGAGAAACCCTGCCTGATCTTCAGGCTGGGCTGGATGGGGCAGTCACAGGAGTAGCCTGCAGGGGGCAGAAGTGGGACGGGTACCGAGTCTTGCTGCCCCTGCAGGAACTATCCAGAGGGGGATGGTGGGGGTGGGCAGCTGGGAGTGTCCAGCCCGGGAGGGGCATTTTTGGCGTCTCAGTGGGGACTGGGAGACAGGACTGGGGGTAGTGTGGAGGAAGAAGAGAGATGGGTGTCCTGAGTTGGGGGCTGCAGATGGTGGTCATGGTCACAGGGAAGCTCTGAGCTCAGGGAGCCCCACTGAAAGTGGGGAGAGGGTCTGGGGTCTGTGCAAGTCGGTGCACGTGGACAGGGCTGAGCCCCAGGCTGAACCGGGCTGTGCCGGCGTGGGGAACAGGGCCCCCGGCCTGTCAGGCTGAGCCCTGGGCCCCGGAGCCAGAGCAGACGCAGGAAATGGCTGATTGCATTCAGCTCAGGAACACCAAATCCCTCGCAGCTGCGCTTGGCGGGGCCTGGCCCCGGGCGGGGCGGCCAGAGTCCTGACAGCTCTGCAGAGCGTGCCAAGGGTCTGGGCCGCGGGCCGGGGGCGCCTTTCCCAGGCCAGAGGCCCCCACCCCACCCCAGGAGAGCGGCCCCTCTCAGTTCCCAGAACGGAGCCCAGCTGTGGAAGAGCAGGGGTGAGGTCATGGGGAGGGGGCCGCATGACTCACATCCTGGGGCAGGCGGGAAGGGAGGAGGCAGGGAAAGGGGCCCAGAGGCCTCCTTGTCCTTGGCTGCTGGGTCAGGAGTGGGGGCTGGTGGGACTTCTCCCTGCACCTTCCCTGTCCCCCAAGCCCCTGTCCAAGGAGGGCTAAGTGGGGGTGCCCCTTGGAGGAGCCCTGGCTCTGGAGCCACCATGTTCCCAGAAAACACACCTTGGCCTCCCCCCGGGCCCTGCTGACTGTTGTCTGGGTGATGTGCAGGAAAACAGTCAATAGTGAGGTGGGGGCACCCCAGAAGGAGCCTGGGAGGGGGCAGGACCTGCCGTTCCCAGGCCCTGCTGCTACGTCCTGTGTGTACAGGCTCGGGGACGTCCATGTGTGTGCCAGGGTCGTGTGGGGTGCCCACTGGGCACAGGAGAGCCAGTGTGTGCATGTCCACCCTGCTGGGTGGGAGCCGGGAGCAGCTTCACGTGCTCACGTGGCTCTGCCCGTGGGGCCCCGTGGCCTTGGGTGGGTACCCCGGGGGTTTGCACCCCTGTCTTTGTGCTTTTGGAGGTTCTTGGCTTGATGGAGGGGTCCGAGGAGCAAGACTGAGCCTGGTCCCACTCAGAGACCACAAGGCAGCAGGGCCAGCCCCAAGAAGAAGCTGAGGCTCTGCCTGGGGACCCAGGCCCACATGCCCACTTGGGCACAAGCGTCCTGTCCACACACGCTCCAGAACTTCCCTCCACGTGCATGTGCAGACTTCAAGGCACACCCGGCCTGTGCCCACAGAGACCCCGAGGTGGGAGCAGCTCACCCTGCATGGGCTTTCCCAGGGGCTGCCCGGGCAAGGCAGGGACACCCCCACCTGCCCACGCTGGCTGTCCACTGGGAGATGGCTGGTGTGCATGGGTGCTAGCAGGAACCCCAAGAGCAAGGAGTCCCCCCTCCCTGGCCGGCAGAGGCCGCAGAGCAGGAGGCTGGCCTCTCTGCGGGTGATGGGAGCCAGGTGTGGGGAGCTGAGGGCTTCCCGGGCTGCAGTTGGAGGCCCTGTGAAGATGAGGCAGGCAGCTGGCCGAGGGAGGTGCAGTCCCATGTGGCTGGGGGGGCCGAGCTGGAGCCTGAGGAGAGGCCTGGCTTTTGTCTGACAGGCTTAGGGGAGACCTGGGGAGATTAGATCATGTGCTGGCAGGGCTGCCTGGCCAGGGGACGGAGGCCCAGAGGGGAGCGGGCTATGGGGTCATGCGGCGGACACCGGCCGGGAAGGACTGAGACCCCGGCAGAGAGATGCAGCCCTGTACCAGCTCTGGCCTAGGCTCCTTCCCTGGTGGAGGGGGCAGTGAGCCCTGTAGATGCAGAGATGAGCTGGGGGTGGGCTGGGATGGCCGAGCTGTGGTGCCTGCTGGACAGCAGTGGCTAGAGAGCTGTGGGCCAGGGCTCCAGATCCCCAGGCCAGCCTTGTGCCTTCCTCTGTTTTTTCCCAACCCTGCTGTGAGGGACTCTTCTGAGAAGCCTGGGGTCAGGGTATTCTGAGGGCAGCTGACCAGCCCAGAGACTGGGGCCTCCACCTTGAACCAGCCCAGAGACTCCACAGAGGACTCTGAGCTGAGGGTGGGGTGCCCGTCAGGGAGCCCAGCTGTGGACTGGACACATGCTCAGTGGACGTGTGAAGGGGCTGAGGCTGGACAGGACCACATGCTGGGATGCTGACACAGGCCTCCTACTGTGACTTGGTGGCAGGGCCACCTCCTTCTGACACTCGGTGCTGAGGAGCAGGAAGGCCTGCCCAAGTCAGGTGGGGTGAGGGTGGCTGGCTGGCTGGCCACCTGGTGTGCTGCTGTCCAAGGTGTGTGACCACAAGTGGCCATGGCCATGACCCCCAGCCATCTCTTCCCAAGCCCTGGTGTTCTAGGTCCTGGTCCAGTTGGGCCTAGGGAGGCAGGCAAGTAGGAAGGGACACCTGGACATGGCAGCCCCTCCATCCCCAGGAGAGCAGTACATGGGTGCCCAGATGCATGGGGCCCAGGGCCTCCACCTGGACCAGAGGCAACTTCGTGGCTTGGTGCATGGCCTCTATTTTAAAGATGGGAAAACTGAGGCTGAGAGAACTGGTCCAGGGCTGTCCACCGCTCTTATCAGGTGACACCCTGTCTCCGCCATGGCGTGACTGTCCCTCTGTGTCTCCCTCCAGGCTCACCACTCAGTGGAGTGTGGAGGATGAAGAGGAAGTGGCCCGGGAGCAGCGCCGGCGGGAGCGGGAGAGGATGAAGCAGGACCAGGATGAGGGTGGCCCAGACCCAGACCAGCCGGAGCAGGAGGCTCTGTAAGCCCCCTGGCCCTGGAGCCCTGGGTGCTGTGGCCCAGGGCCTGGGTTCAGGGTCAGGCCCTGGGCTTTGAGGTCCCAGGGTAGGACGACTCAGAGCCAGGCAGTGCTCTTAGGGCAAGGGTGGTCAGCAGCCTTGGGTGACCCCATCTGCCAGATGCCTGCCTGGCCAGAGGGTGCGCAGAGCCATGAAAGGCCGCCCCTCCCAGCCAGGCTCCTGGGGTCTGACTCAGGCTCTGGACACTCTGCCTGGTCCCAGCCCTCGCTTGGACCGGTGCTGACCCCAGCCCCGGCCCTGGCCCCCGAGCCCCCCGCCCAAGTTCCCGCTGCCGGTGACTCACAGAGGCCACGTCCAAGTTGGCGGCCACAGGCCTGCTCGTTTCCTCCCTGGGCCCAGGAGGCCTCCGYGGCTGGGCTGGGCTGTTTCTCCAATAATGCTCCCCTTCCTCCTGGCCCTGTTCTGTTCCATTTTCTCCGAGTCAGCAGCTTAGGGCGGGGTGGGGTGCTGCAGCGGTCATGGTCCCTCGGCCAGGTCTCTCAGTCACCCTGAAGCCTGAGAATCCCTTCTAGCCCCCAGCCCCTGCTCCTGCAGAGCTCCCCTTTTTACACTGGAGAGCCCGTGAGGGCGGCTCAGGGCAGGAGTCGGCTGGGGCAGCTTGGAGAGCCCAGCCCTGCTCCAGGGGAGCCCTAGGCCCATGGGGGAGGCCCAGCCCTGCTCTGGGGGAGCCCTAGACATGAGGGAGGCCCAGCCCTGCTCCAGGGGAGCCCTAGGCCCATGGGGAGGCCCAGCCCTGCTCCAGGGGAGCCCTAGGCCCGTGGGGGAGGCATAGCTGTGCTGGGGGGGGGGAGCCCAAGGCCTGTAGGGGAGGCACAGCCCTGCTCCAGTGGAACCCTAGGCCCATGGGGGAGACCCAGCCCTGCTCCAGGGGAGCCCTAGACATGAGGGAGGCCCAGCCTTGCTCCAGGGGAGCCTTAGGCTGTTAGGGGAGGCCCCAGCCCTGCTCCAGGGGAGCCCTAGACATGAGGGAGGCCCAGCCCTGCTCCAGGGGAGCCCTAGACATGAGGGAGGCCCAGCCCTGCTCCAGGGGAGCCCTAG